AGCATGGATTCATCCTGCCTTATATCAACAGTTCAGGCTGGTGTTGGTGGTCTAATGCTGTGGGGGGTATTTTCTTGGCATACTTTGGGCTCATTAGTATGACCACAGTGTACCCATCTTCTGATGGCTACTTACAGCAGGATGGCCTTAACAGGATGGACTCAAATGGCCTCCACAGTCCAACAGCACAGGGCCAAATGTGTTAAGGGCTTAAGTTAGAGTGAGTTTGCCTGATTCAGCATGTAGAATCGCCATCATATGTTGGTGAAAGAGAGTGCTCTGATTGGCTGTTCATCTACAAATCAGAGCGTAAAAACAAAAACTAAAATGACAAAACCACACACAGAAGTCAAGAGAAAATACACAGATTTCCACTGTCAGTCCATTACATTTCTTAAATATTTGTAAATGATCATTTGCATGAGTGAATTCCTCAGTGGTGAGCGAAAAGTTATGGAAAGATTTATCTTTTCACACAGAGCACACACTCATTTTCATCCATTTGGTGTGTTCATGCACAGCTCTTGACACAACCGACACAAGCCAATAACACAGTCAGTTTTTGTTGGCACTAATTCTTTGACATCAGCTTGGGTTTTAGACTGGATTTACTTAAACTAGCCTGATCTCACAAGGAAACGCAACTATTTTACGTTTGTCAGTTAAGTGGCTAATTCGTAAGAACTCGTGACACCCAACTCCCACTCCTAAACCCAACCCATCATTGGTAGATGAGCAAATCTGTATAAATTAGGCTGTATGAATTCATACAAGTTAGCCACTAAATCAAAACTTTACAAATTGCCGTGAGAGTGTTGGAATTACAGTCAATAAACAATAAGAAAGAAATATTTTAACAACACTTTTGGCGAGGTTTTGGTCTTTATTTTTAAAGATTTATTTTTTTATATACAGTTCAAGTCAGAATTATTAGCTCCCCTTTTGTCTCTCTTCCGTTTAAATATTTCCTAAATGATGTTTAACAGAGCTAGGAAATTTTCACTGTATGTCTGATAAAATTTTTTCTTCTGGAGAAAGTCTTATTTGTTTTATTTCGGCTAGAACAAAAGCAGTTAAAAAAAAAAAAAAACATTTCTAGGACAAAATTATTAGCCCCTTTAAGCTATTTTTGCTTTCGATAGTCTACAGAACAAACCATCATTATACAATAACTTGCCTAATTACCCTAACCTGCCTAGTTAACCTAATTAACCTAGTTAAGCCTTTAAATGTCACTTTAAGCTATATAGAAGTATCTTGAAAAATATCTAGTCAAATATTATGTACCGTCATCATGACAAAGATAAAAGAAATCAGTTATTAGAAATGAGCTATTAAAACCATTTTGTTTAGAAATGTGTTAAAAAAAATCTGATCTCCGTTAAACAGAAATTGGGGAAAAATGGGGGGGGCAAATAATTAATAATAATATAGCAATAATATAGGCAAATAATTCAGGGAGCTAATAACTCTGTCTTCTGTATATATTTTTTTGTGATAAGACAGTAGTAGTAGAAGCAAAGTTGGTGTGAGAGATGGGGACGGAATTGGGAAAAGTCCTCAAGCTGGGATTTCAACTTGGCACAAACAGATTTTGGTCTTTGTTAAGTCATTTTTTATTTTAGATTACTGGATATTGGTTACTTAATCTCAATCTTAATCTCAAAAATAAAACTACAGAGCAAGTAACTAAGCAGTCTGTTGGTGCAGGGTAAATTTGTCTTAAAGGTCCAATGAAGTGTTTTAAATGTGAATTTTGATTCAATGTTTGAAGTAATTTCAACCTAAACAAGAAGAGGGGTTGGGACATAGTGTGTAGCTCCTCCCCTTTAAATAAAACAGCCAATGGTGTTTTGTTTAATCAACACTCTCCCAGTGAGAGTGGCTGAGCTCAAACGCATCAAATGTAAAGTGTCTTGAAGGGGGTGGGGCATGTCAGATCTAGAAAGCATTTGATTGGTCAAATTGAAGTTTGAAGTGACGAGAATAAAACAGTTGATTCATTTAGGCGGAAGTGACAAAGCTTTACATGTTTATATCAGTTTTATGTCTTCTAAATGCAAATTTTTTCACTGTTTTGGAGCACACAAGCTTATAGATATCCTAAAAACTAACAATACTGCTACTAACATCTAAAATACCTTTAATTTCATAGAACTTTTTCACATAATTGCCAATAATTAATTACAAATGCAATTACAAATGCATTTAACTAAACATGAAACTGAAGACAGCTGATCAACTTCAGAAATGCGACATCGCTGCAGTGTACATTGAAGTGTACATTGAAATCCCCTACTCTGGTGTATAGCTGGCTGCCTGTGATTTATAAATCACAGCAGAGATGTGAAAGTTTGAAAGAGTCACCCTCTCTTCCATGTTTTTGTCCTTCTCACTTGTGCTCTCTTTTACCCTCAGGCTATTTGTCAGCAGTTCTGTGTTTGGTGTGTGTGTGTGTGTTTCCAGTGATTTTACTGTGTGTTTGCTGTGTGTCAGTTGTGTGTGCGGATGTGTGTGTATACAGACAGATGGATGACCTCTTGTTTAATGGCTGATGTAAATAACCTCTATCTGCTGGTGTGGGCTTGATATATGAGTGAAACGAATTCACCTTCTGTGTTCTTGCCTTGGGGTGACCCGCGTCCTCCAGGCATCACAACACAGCTGGCCATAATCACACCACTGCTCTTGTGTTCCTCAGCCAGGGTTTGTGTGTGTGTGTACAGGTATATGTGGTTTACAGGGACATGAAGCTGTATAATGACATGGGTATGACTTAGTTGTACTCTATTAAGGTGGTTTACAGGGTCACACCTTGTGTCCCTATTATTCAAGATGCTTAAACATCATATTTGAGTGTTTTGATATTCAAATTCAAGGATTGGGTTTTGGAGTAGGGCCATATCATAAGCAGTTTTTACTGTATAAAATATATCACGCCTATGGAGTGTCCCTGTAAGCCATAGGTATGTGAGTGTGTCAGGTTTGCAGGCAGGTGTTTCACCAGCAATAGAGAGCAACAGTCAGGTTGTAGAAGTAAAAACTCCATAAGAAAGTAATTGAAAGGAAAATGTCCATGGGAAAAACTTTAGACAGGGATATTGTTTTTGCTTTTGTTCCACCCACAATAATTCAACTCATCTTTAAAAAGTTTACTATTTTAAAACATGATGCTGTACAGAAAATTCTATAAATCAGAGAATTACAGTGAGACTTGCTCCACAATCCAGTCAATCTCACTACACTCTTAACATACTTGATATATATTTTGCAATAAACATGAAATATACACTGTAAACGTAAATGTAAAAAAATAAATGTAAAATTTACACTAACTTACTGGCAAGTTTGGTTGATGCCTGAATAATAAAGGAACTAAGTCGAAAAGAAAATGAATGAATGAATGAATGAATGAATGAATGAATGAATGAATTTCGGATACAGTGATTTAAATAGGATTTTGAAAAGTGAGGAGGGTATGTCCGCCTTGGAAATTATGCCTCAGCTTGGATGTAAACACTTTTTTTTTGGATTGATAATGTACTACTGAAGACATTCTTTTTGATTATTTAAGCAATCTAAGGGGCTGCTCGCGTATTCCAGGCACGCCTAGTTAATACTTTAATCAGCTTAATACTTTGTATGGAATATACACATTTCGGTAGACTATATCAGACCAACACAGAACACCCAAACACTGCAGTGCTTTTTAAATTTTGTCCATAGAGAAAACTTGTATCAGAGCAGCAGCAATGTTTTGTCAGTCATCCCCTGAGAACGGTTGATGATCACCTAGAAACGACAGATGTGAGTGCTACAGCAAAGCGTGATGAAAATGGGGAAGGAATGTGTACGGCTAAATCATGAATAGAGAATGACTTTAAATAAGGAGGAAATGTTTACCAAAATGGAGTTTAATAGTGATAAACATTTGACTTTAGTAGGGATGCACCGCTACAACTTTTTTTTTGATCCACTCATCATACCAAAATTCAGAGTATCGACCAATACAGATCCAATCCCAGCACTGTACCTTTTTTTGTTTTGTTTGGTTGTTTTTTAACATGACAGTTTCAATTGCTCTGGTGATAACCTCTAATAATATATCTTGTTTAGTAAAAATAACAGACCTATAGGCCTACTGTATATGACAGACACACAATCTAACTAAAAACATGATACTTGCTGTAAACTAGGCAACATTATTTGAGCATTCGTTTAGACATTGATATGATCTGATGTTGACCTGCTTTTTGGTTTCCCTTTTAATATTAAGATCTCTCTTTGAAATCTGTAATAGGCTATCACTATTGACTAGAATATCCGATCCAAGTATTGGGATCGGTGCATCACTTGGCATTCGTATTCTAAATGAAATTTTTCCAGTCTGACCGATTAGTACAGGCCAAAACATGACAAAACATGGTCATTTTCAGCAGCAGTAATTAGCAAAATATACAAGTTTCATTCAGCTGAGTGACAACTGCTCTCTACCATAGCTCAGAAACACTCTATAGTCTACAATATAGTATAGTGATTCAGTTTACAACAACTTCATTTATTGAAAACATAAAAAAAAGTCACATTCACTGTCTCGATTTAAAAAAGTACCTCGCCATCTTGCTCTGATCAAAGATACATGAACACACCAGATATTGCAACCACAAACATCCCAGAAGGTCTTACTGTAAATTCCCCAGATCAGCTTTAACCCATCGGTTTTGGCAACTGACCATATTCTAAACTGGATAATCCACAGCTAGGTTTTCATTACATGATTCTAATGCACTATACGTCACATTAAGCAGTGTAACAGTGTAATGCACACCTAGCTTTGGATTATCCCTGACTTCTTTCACCCTTCGGTAGCTGCGCGCAGATCCCCCAGAACAGATGTCTTGTGTTTCAGAGGCCGGTGTAATTAAAGTTGGTCCTCATCTGATCTGACCATTAAACATGCATCTGTGACACCTGTGCCTCTTCTTTCTCTCTGTTTGCAGTGCAGCGGTGACTATGCTCCAGTGTGCGGATCGAATGGCGAGAGCTATGAGAACCACTGTCTCCTGCGCAAAGACGCCTGTAAACTGCAGACAGAGGTGCTGGTGGTGTCAGACGGAGCCTGTCCTGTCGGTACTAGAGGTGACTGTCCTTAGTGTGTGTGTATGTGTGTGTGTGTTTGTCTCCAAGGTGCCTGTTGGACTGCAATCATTAACACTTTACAATAATGCTATATTTCTTAAAACGAGAATTACTTTAGATAAATTAATTCACAACAAACTAAACTAAACTAAACTAAAAGCACAACAAAACTAAAAATTAAGATTTACTCTGAATACGATTACAATCTGTGTTTTGGTTAACTCATAATGTTTTTTTTTTTTAACTCGACACTGTTTTGGCATGCTTTAAATGTTCATTTCTGCATACCATCTTATTAATATCTCTACAGTTTTTTTATTGTTTTGAGGATATAAAAAAATAAATAAATAAAATAAAAAAGTACAAATAAAAATAAAAGTAAAAAAATAGAGTTTTTAGTAACATTAGTTGAAGGTCTGTGACATGACATCATGAATGTGAATAAGATTTTATGTATGTGTATAACAACTGTAATTAAGTGTCATTCACTCGGTTATCATGCATCAGAGGTAGAAAGAGTACTGGAAAATCATTCTTCAGTAAAAGTACCATTACTTGTCTAAACATGTAGTGCAAGTAGAGTAAAAGTATCAGTTGTAAATATTATTCAAGTATGAGTAAAAAGTTGACCTATCAAAAGTGCTCAAGAAGAGTAGTGAGTATTACACTGTAAGAAGCTAATAATTGTACAGTTAAAGTCAAAATTATTAGCCTGCCTGAATTATTAGCCCCCTGTTTATTTTTCCCAAATTTGTTTTTAACGGAGAAGATTTTTTCAACACATTTCTAAACATAATAGTTTTAATAATTCACTTCTAAAAACTGTTTTATTTTATTTTTGCCATGATGACAGTAAGTAATATTTGACTTGATATTTTTCAAGACACTTCTATACAGCTTAAAGTGACATTTAAAGGCTTAACTAGGTTAATTATGTTAACTAGGCAGGTTAGGGTAATTAGGCAAGTTATAGTATAACGTGGTTTATATAGTATAAATCAGACTCTGACAATTTCCTTGCTCTGTTAAACATCATTTGGCAAATATTTAAAATAGAAAAAAAAATTCAAAGAGGGGGCCAATTATTCTGACTTCAACTGTACATGTAATTTGTGACTGTGTGCATACGTAATATTCTGTAGTGCATTTAGTTATTGCTCAGAACATCACAACATCATTCTAATTTTTTAGATTTAGGTTGTGACATCAGGTAACTAAAATTCAGTGTGTAGCCAGCGTCCAGACAGTTATTTTGATGTCCAATAATGACGTGAAATGACGTTGATATTTTGTCGAATTTAGCTCGTGTTAGAAAGTGACTAAAATCCAACATCGGGCAAACATCTTAAACCAGCGTCATACGTCTGACATACATACACTGACATTTGTCAGGTTTGGCAACCGAAATCTAACATCTGATATACGTCAACCTGTAACATGATTAGACGTCGTTATAGTATCTGGTTGATTTTAGATTGGATGTTTTCGAATCCCCATAAACAAGAAAGAAATAAAGAAGTGACTGCAGGTTGAAGGAAAGTAGTGGAGTAAAACTACTTCGTAAATTACAATTCCTGAGAAAAAACTACTTAATTATAGTAATTTGAGTATTTATAATTTGTTACTTAACACCACTGTAATGCATAGATGACACTGTTTGTTATGACAACTTGAGAAACAAATACGTCACAGCCTGTTTTTGTCTATGTCAACTTGACATGACCAAGACAACAAAACTTGTCATAAATCTGTTATAAACATGATTGTCATGAACCATTATAAATTATAATGTCATAAATTTTATAACAGCGTCATTAATATATATATATATATATATATATATATATATATATATATATATATTGCCTCAACTACTGTGGTAAAAGCTAAATTTGTTATTAAATGTAATTAAATATTAATGACGCTGTTAAAAATGAATTTTAACTTTTTTTTAAAATGGTAATTTTTGTAACGGTAATGACACCTTTAAAGACACATTTCTATAACAAATACAATTTGTTCCACTGCAAATGTGGTCAGAAAAAATATTTATGACAGTTATGCCTCATGACAATTATGTTTATGACAGATTTATGACCAGTTATGTTGTCTTGGTAATGTCATGACAATGAAAAAAAAAACTTTTTGCAAAGTTGTGATATATTTATGTCAAGTTGTCATAATAAACAATGGCATCTTTACATTTAAAAATGACATAAATAAGCAAATGACTCTTAATAATAGTTGTCATAAACATGCATAAATCCTCATTCACATTCAGGACATGCGTCATGTCATGATTATAAAGGGATGGCAGTCTTATGAACACTCCTTTAAGTAAAGTGTTCCCAATTTTTTAAATATTGTATAAACAACTTCATACTGAAATGTAGACAAAAATTGTCTTTGAGTTCAATGTTACAATATCATTATAAAATTATCAAGTAAAGTAAGTAAATAAAGTCATACAATGTGAATAAACTTTTACAAAATTGCAAGCCTTTTTACATACAGCAGTTAAAGTATAGGTTTGGTGGCACGGTAACTAAGTGGTTAGTACTGTCCCCTTGAAGCAAGAAGGTCTCTGGTTTGAGTCCCAGCTGGGCCAGTTGGCCTTCTGTGTGGAGTTTGTATGTTCTCCCCCTTGTGTTTGCGTGGCTTTCCTCCAGGTGCTCTTGTTTCCCCCACAGTCCAAAGACATGTGCTATAGGTGAACTGGGTCAACAAAACTGTCCGTAGTGTATGAGTGTGTGTGAATGCGAGAGTGTATGGGTGTTTTCCAGTACTGGGTTACAGCTGGAAGGGCATCCACTGTGTAAAACATATGCCAGAATAGTTGTTGGTTTATTGCGGTGTGGCAACCCCTGATAAATAAGGGACATACTGTAGCAAAAAAATAAAATGAAATTAATAAATGATTGAAGCCGAGTTGTTTTGTACATTTAAATAACTGGTGTTTCCTCAATTAAATAAACACCTTAAATAAACAACAGAACGCTGTTAGGATAATTCCATTTTCATGCATAGATGTTAAAGCTT